GTTTGGTTCCCACTAAGGGCACCGTACCTCAGTTGCGATTTGTCCCCGGCCCTGGTTGGGTTGTGCGGGTGGCAGCCACTCGATGTGTCCCTTTCACATTGATGTTTCTCTTTCTTCCTCTCTCTCCCTCCCACTCTATCTGAACAACAAAAACGCATTTAACACTCAAAGCCACTCTACACATAGATGTCCCCATTTTACAGATAAAGAAACAGGTTTTTAAACTTAAAAAGATCTGTCCAATTTTAATAAAGAAGAAAGCCCAGCCCTGGCCGGTTTGGCTCAGCGGTTAGAGCATTGGCCTGGGGTCCAGAGAGACCTGGGTCCAGTTCCCGCTAAGGGCATGTACCTCGGTTGCAGTTTGTCCCTGGCTCTGTTTGGGTCGTGTGGGTGGCAGCCACTCGATGTGTCCCTTTCGCGTCGATGTTTCTCTCTCTCTCCCTCCCACTCTATCTGAACAAAAAATGGAAAAATGTCCTCAGGTGAGAATTAAAAATAAAAAAAATAAGATAAAATAAAAAAAGAAAGCCCCTATTATGAACCCAGCTCTAACTGTAGGCACTGCAGAGCACTTGATACAGTGAACATAAAAATCCTTTGAAGAGACAATTTCTTAAACACTGAAACTTTCCGATGAGCAAACATTAGCACATTGTTCTTAGTACCTTCACCAATCTGTCTTCATGGAGCTGAAGATAAAAATTATAAAGTATCCTAGAGAGGAGCTCATACCACTACACAGTAAATATAAGTTTGGGTCAAGCCCTGACTGAGACCTTAAGGGATAAAAAGGTAAGTATAAATGACACATGTAAAAATCATTAACTGGGATTGGAGACACTTAAATCATTCTGATTCATTGAAGATAAGAAACCAAATCCGACATAATAGCACTTATATAGTCGAGATAAATTTCCCTTATTTCCTTGATTAGGCAGAAACTTCCAACCTCCTCGTCATTGATTCCACTATGCCAATAAATGTTTAGAAACTCATTTTGCTTTGTTGCTTATAAAAAATCTTACAGGAGAGTAAGAGGATAAATCACTCTCAATTCAAATATGAAATATCCATTCCTTAAGACTCAGATACTCTAGGTCTCTCACTGCGTCAGGACAGAATGCAAGTCCAGGTGTTTTGATGCTCTGCATAGCCAGAGAGGTTTCTCCCTCTCCCTTTTCTCTCAAGTTCACAAAAACATAAGCTCAATTGTGTTATTTCCATTAACAAAAGAAGCAAAACCCTCCTGACAAAGTGGTTTATCACTTTCCCAAGTTTCATCTTCTGAGTTCAATTAAATACAGCAAAAATCCTTAAGACTGCCATGGCCCTCAGTGAACACTCTATATAACTCATCTTCACCTCAATGTATCTTTTCCTATTTACAAATCAAAATTTACTGCCCTGGCCGGTTTTGCTCAGTGGTTAGAGTGTCGGCCCTCGGACCAAAGAGTCGCGGGTTCAATTCCGATCAAGGGTATGTAACTTGGTTGCAGTTCAGTCCTCGGCCCTGGTTGGGGTTGTGCAGAAGGTAACCAATCGATGTGTCTCTCACATCAATGTTTCTCACTCCCTCTCCCTCCTTTCCTCCCACTCTATCTGAAAATCAATGAGAAAATATCCTCAGGTGAGGATTAAAAGAAACATTTTTTTAAAGTAACACCAGGCCTGCCACTGAATCGGGACATGTACTGTTAAGGTGACCTGTGGTTGGGAACGAATACTATATAAAACCCTTCTATGAATTGACCTCTCATTATTTCTCCACCTCCACCTCCCAGAAAGCAGAGAACAGGAAGATACGCTTTGGACTACTACCCACTAAATTGCTACCCCAAGCAATAAAGACTACCATGAACTTTTTATATACTGTGGGTTATCAGGAGAAAATAATTTAGAAAAGTTTTAATCTACCTGCAATTCCAGCAAAATAAATTTGGCGTCTTTGATACCTGATGTACCAATAACAAACAAAGGCATAATATGCTTTTTAAAACTTTATTTCAACATAACTATGCTTACAGAAATACACTCATATTGGTTAATAGAATGCAATTTGAGTTTAACTTATCTTACATGATTTGGACCAAAAACTTGGTACATGGTTTAAGCATTAAAAACAACCAAAAAAAAAAGAGAAGGATTTGCAATCTGTTTTATTTTTCATCTATTACAAATGTATATAAAAGATCCTCCATCAAATGCTGCTAAAGCATGCAGCAAGAACCTTGAGAAATTAACCTTTGGTTTGTCTCTGAAAAATAACACGTATTGCACTGTAAAAGTTTATAAAATTGGTGCAACAAAACAGTGTTGCAATGTTTCAATGCCAGTTTACAAAGTTCAAAAACTAATGGATGCTGAAAAGAGTGGGGAGAGCCTATGTACACATGTGAAACTGTAAAAGCTATTTGATTTCGTTAATATTGCATGTAGACTGCAAATCTACAGAAAAAACAAGATTCAGATAATTTCCTGAATCTGAATTAACACTATCAGCTCAGTTTATTTGCTGAGGTCAACAAGGAAACTCCACGCACTATTTTTCTGATGTATGCAAAAAAGAAAATTACATTTCTTCCTCAGCTTTTCAATCCAGAACTGGTATTTATACTATAGGCAAGGTAGTCCTTCCATTGTCAACATTCATAGGGTGACACATGATGAGGTCTACTTGGGTTTAAATATTTATTAGCACTCATATGCAAAATAGTCCCCAAAATTAAAGACCACAGGACTTTAGAAGTGACTAAAAAAATAAAATGGCCCTTCTTGGAAGACTAAAGAAAATATCCAGCCATAGTTATAAGAAACCTTGTCAAAAAATGTTGCCCCTTGTGAATTATACTTCAATTAAAAAAAAAAAAAAAAAGCCCCAAGGAGGAGACAAATATAACTTAAAATATCTTGAAAACAAAACCGATTTCAAAAGAAGTTAAAGAGATACATTTTCATAAGACTACCTAGGATTAGGCTTATAATGTAGTCTAGTATTTCAAGTTTCTCTAGTTACTAAACATCAATTTACAAATAACATGTTCACTTTTTATTCCTTTATCAAAAGGGAAAATTCTAGCTTCAATTCTATCCAGTAGAGGGGAAACTGAGAAAACAAAAAGATTCAAACAGTCCCATGCAAATATCACATTTTTCAAATGGAAGAACTCCCAACTAGACTAGAAGTTCACATTACTAATATGCTTTTTTCACTGAAACAATTTTTAATAAGTACAAATACATGGCATTAAGGTTCAGAACCTAATATAGGCCTGACAATCAAGTCCTTATTTTCTGGAAGAAAGGCCTCAAGTCCTACTTACTCATTTTCCAGTAACAATGTTTTCACAGATCAATTTAACAATCAGGGGTTTTAATTTTCTTCATATTTTTGTTGTTAGCATTCTAGTCTTTAAAACTAGATAATAAGTCCAATTCCCCAGAAGCCAAATTTTTTTTCTTTTGTAGTATGAAAGAATCCACAAAACCTCTGCCCTAAACTGATTCCCAATTTTCAATCTGTACTTAACATGAATCTTTTTATATATATTGTAAAAGGTAACTTACATAAAATGTACCCATTAATCAAAACTAGTTGTTAGAAAGATTTAACTAGCTTTATAATTTAAGTTTTAAAACATAAATATTTGCAGCTTGATCTTCTGTTGACAATGATTGTCGGAGCCAAGAATTCACCTAGAATTCAACCTCATTTACAAATTCCCATTCATGCACACAAAACACACACCATTAATACACAACTTACTCCTCATGTCTTAAGATAATCATCTTTGAATCTTTGGCCTCCCAGTCAATTCAAAGTTCAAATGTCTTTTAACTCAAACTTCACTCTCAGATTTTTAACAAGTTTTCCACCCACACAATTTTCCTAATCTTTTTCATGTTGCACTGCCAAACTCTGAAACCTGTGCCTCAAAAAGATCACCAAATAAAAGAAAATAAATGAAATATAAAGTGGTTGTCTCAGAATAGAAAACGGAAGATTAGAATTGATCAAGATTCCCTACTGAGATCATACTTTACTTTTACTGCAATGAAGAACTACTATTATCAGGTAGAAAAATCCTATGTTGGATTCTTTCATATTCTTTGGCAAGTGGCCAAAGAACCTACCAAAAAAGTTTGGGAGTATACTCTTTTTCATACAAAGTATTCCCATAGGAATACCAGGATAGCTGCAATTCATTTGAGGCCTCACCTGTAGAAAGAGGCTGTCACATGGACAGCCAGGAAACCCACTCGTTGTGGAGATCCCTGAGAAAGTGTGATTTTAAAATCTGGACTGTAATTAAGGTTCACTAACCATTTTCATTGTATTCATAGGAAGTAGCAGCTGGTCTACCAGCATTCATACTACCTTTTCTCATCCTAGGTTTTTCGTATAATTGCTATGGCTTTGGAATCTCACAACTGATATTCTGTATAATTTGAAGGTATTATGTCTCCTAATTCCAGGTTTGCAATTTCCAAATGTCACAATTCTTACTCAACTGAGTAGCCATAGAGACACCAACCATCTATGAATAAAGGTTTTCCTCAAAGATATGACTTAACATTACATTTAAGTCATAGCTGTACTAAAATAGGCTAATACAGTTTACTTATGGTTGGTATTTGAGAGAAAAATCCATTCAATATAGAGCCTAGTGGTTCATTTATTGCAAAGTTCAAACTGAGAGCTGTGAATTTACTACATCCATTTAAAATAAATAACTTATATGAAATACAGATCTGGCATAGATATAAGATGTGAAAATCAAAATCAACTTGAACCTGCATGTTTCATTTGTTCACAAACTTGCACACACTAATATTCTGCAAAAAAGACAATTGCAGCAAAAGAAAAACTGCCCTTTTGCAAACAAAACTAAAAGCATCCCTCCAAAGAGGATAAAATAAACATGCATATATATGTATAAAGTGTTACTGTTCAACACAAATGCTATTTCTAGGAAAAAAATTTAACTGCATAGGTTAAAAAAAAAAAAAAACCCACAATGTGCAATATCTTAAGCCATTAAAGCACCAAAAATAAAAAACAAAAAATCACTGTTTTTTTATGACGATTAACATACACAAATAATATTGATCAAAACTCAGGAGTATATACCTGGACTGAAACAATGTCCATTGTTTGGAGAATTTTTCAATTTAAATGTTTCTTCTCATCTCTAAAAAAGTTTAAAGTGCTAACTTTATATAAAGCAGGCAAATTCTTCAAGTAATTTGCTATTTAATGATGCCAATTTTTATAGAGCTAAACAGGAAACTAAGAATAAACTAAACTGCAACAGGAAAACAGACATGGGGGAAATTGACAAGTTAAGCTAGACAACGCAACAGAAATGCTCTAACACCACCTTGGCCTTCTAGTTTCAATTAAATGCATAAGCTAACAGATTTAGGCGTCTGCTGGTTTAGTACACTAACTCCCTCGGATTTGCTAAAATTTATACAATAGGTATACAGAGTCCTAAGAAAAAGAGTGCCACTTAAAAATCAACATCGAACACTAATTAAAGCAATTTTAAAAATAAAAGGTTGTCTACTAGTATAAATGAGTATAAAATGTAATAGGATCTTACAAACTAAGAACTGAAGACTTTTCCAAAGTTTAATTACTCCTGCCCTTTAGCTGCTTTTTCAAGGAAGTATACATTAACCAAATGGCGATTGAGGTGTTTGCTGTAATCTTTTTCCTTTCTAAAAGACCGATCACAGAAGATACAAACAAAATCTCCCTCAGCCACCTTGACTGCCAAGGCTTCCTTTGTATTTTTCCTACTAGTTTCTGGTGGAACCGGCCGGGCCCCATTTAATCCAGAATCATCACTACCCTCTGACATGTTGTCACTTAGGTCACTACCATCATGACTGTGGATGCCTTCATCTTCATCCATTTCCTGAGACTCATTTACTGCCATGGTAACAGGAGGTGATGCCACAGCAGTTTTGGACACTGCTTCTCCTTTTTCTGTTGGTAGGGGAAGCAGCAGTGGTGAAACTGGTTCTTCGACTGCTGAGTCTTTTCCAGGGGGATTCTCTGTTTTGTTCTCATCTGTATCCATATCCATTTCACAAAGCCCAGTGTCAACCTGATGTTTACCATCTAAAGTTTCACCCGCTTGCATATTCAAGTTTTGTTCAGAGGGTGAAATATTGGCAGATTCCTTGCCAATAGCAGCAAGACCAGCTAGACTCTTTTCTGCCTCTTCTACTTCTACTTTTTGAAGAGGGGCTTCTTTATTTCCTTCGCATTCGGTGAGTAGTTTTTGGTCTTTTGACTCCTCTTCTTTTAAATTTTCCTTTGGCAATGGTGGTGATGATAAGAAATCTTGTGCACTTGCACTTTCCTTTAGAAACTGGCTCTCTTTAACAGGCACTAAGCCAACTTCAATAAGGACTTGCTCCTTCCTTGCCATTTCACTCTGTGCATTAGACTTTTCCTTTTTATTATCTTTTCGAGGAGATTTTTTGGGAATCGGAGGCTCCGTAAGAGGAGGAGTCTCCATAACAGGAGGAAGCTCCTCCATCTGATCAGGCCCCTTCTGAACAACCTCCATCAGAGCAGGCTCCATGGGAGGAGGAGGCTCTGTCTGAACAGGTCCCACCTGAGGAGGCTCCATGGGTGGGACCGGCTCTGTCTGAGCAGGCCCCCTCTGAACAATCTCCTTCGGAGCAGGCTTGCTGCTTTTTTTACTTGATTTATTTTTCAGAGTTTTCTTCTTTGTACTTTTTTTCATGCCGGCATTTTGCTTTTTATTTTCCTCTACTTTGTTCTCACCCTTTGGTACTTCCTGACTATTTTTGGGTTTGCTTTCTGTCTTCTTTTTCTTTTTTGTCACAGGCTGCTCATCATTAACAAGATCTTGTACAGAATGGGCTTCAGCTTCCACCTTCCTTTTGCTTTTCTTGGTTTTACAGTTTTTTTCTGAATTGTTTCCTGTAGGCACACCCATCTCTCTAGTTTCCATTGCTGATTTGCGAGTTCTGGTAGTCACTTGGATTGAAGCACTACTACAAGGCTTTTTTTCTTTTGAAACATCTTTTTTCTCCACTTTTACAGATTTCTCATTTTTCTTTCCAGCTACATCCCCTTTTACTTTTGTCTGCTCTGTTGCTGTTTTTTCATTGGTATTATTGTTATCAGGCAAATCTGCCTCTCGCTTTTTGGTTTTCTTTAATTTCACTTTTGAGACATCCATTGTTTTATTAGGACAAGTAGGATGCTTAGATTTGAAATGATACTGTAGATTACATTTCTTGGAAGCTGCATAATCGCATACAGGACAATTGAATTGCCGTGGATTAACATGTAGCTCCACATGTTTTTTGAAGTTACTTCTATCTGCTGTTTTGTAGTCACAGTGTGGGCAGTTAAGAGGTTTAGGCCCATTGTGAACCTGTCTTGCGTGACGAGTTACTTCGTGTTGATTAGAGGCCACATAACTGCACTGATCACATTTAAATGGCTTCTCACCTGAAAGTGAACAAGAGATGTTAAAGACACATATTAAGTAATGAATTCAACATTTTATTAAAATATAAGGAGTTGGATTATGTTAACAAAAAACCCCACAAAAACTATGTATTGAAAAGACTGTTTCATGCACTTTATATTTACCATATTTATTTGTATATCGTTTCTCTATCCCTTAACACTGATTCTCAAACCAAACAAAGAAATAATTATCTCATAGTTAGCCATCATCATCTAAAAAGTTCATCAAGCTAGGGCTCTCAAGGACTATTAAAGAGCAGACATTTGTTAGTACACAACAATTACTGGCAAAGCTGAGCTCTGGATGTTAATTTTGGGGCATGGGCTCTCAAAGAAAATAACTTTAAATGTTTTATGTTTAGTCAAAACAAATGTATAATGCAGTGGGATATAAAATTCATACATTTTAAAGATAAATCTTGAGACTTAAAAGAAATATCTTATACTCTTAAGCTACACTCCTCCCAGACCTTCAGTATACAAGTTTTAAAACACTACTTTAGCCTCAGGGAGCAAAAGGCTTTTCCCCCCTTTAAATTTAACCCATTTATCTATCCCAAGGCAAAAGCTAGGTTAAGCTTCATTCAGCCAATCTTTCCAATGCCAAAGTTACTATTTTAAAGCAAAAATTAGCCAAGTCAGAAATCTTTGATTTTTCCCCATCCTCTTTTAAAAAATGGGCAAAGAAACTAAATGAGAAGGGCATACAAATAGATATGGTATGTAAAATAAGCAAAGTCATAATCACATGTACGTACATAACCAGAACCCCCACCCCCAAATTAATGGCATAAGAGTAACACATTCTACCTGAATACATACCCATCTAGATCACACTCTAGTAAATATTACCAAATGGTATCCATACCCCACTGGTCCAATGGAATGCATAGTAGAAAAATGGAAATTGACATTTATGAAAATTCATCTCTCAAACATTCTCAAATTCATATCAAATCTTAATGTTTTCATAAAGCAAAGTTACTCAGACATTAAGTAAAACCATGCAGATGGTATGTTTTACATAATTAGAAAATGTCTGATGATAAAAGACTTGATCACAAACACAAATACTTATCCAAGTCTGACATACAGCTAAGTGGATACCTCTTTTCCATGCTAGTTCACTAACAAATTTGTAAATAGAGGTTTCTGCAACAAGCTACATTACTCCATAGTGCTTGATTGTATGATGGCCTCTCTCCAGTGAATCACCTCAGTGGAGACAAGCATTTGTTTAACATACATACACACAGAATAGGCAAAGACAGGTGGTATAATAATTAAGAACTGTTTTCAAGAAAGAATATCTGGGGTGATCAAATATGGGACACTCTAACTCACTGTGAGATCTTTCTAAGTTTCATTTCCTCATCTGTAAAATATTATTTTTTAAAAAATTTTACTTAAGTTTACTGGGGTGACATTGATGGTTAATAAAATTATATCGGTTTCAGATGTATAACTCTATATGTAAAATATTCTTGAATGCTGTGAGCTATAAATGATCTAATCTATATAAAACTCTTAGCATGGACAGATAGCCAGGCATTCAATATACATTACCTGTAATTCATCACTTTTGGAACAAACATTAATTTTTAGTATGGGTAAAACAAAACAAAAAAAAAGGACGAGTGCCCTGGCCGGTTTGGCTCAGCGGTTAGAGCGTCAGCCTGCAGTCTGGAGAGACCCGGGTTTGGTTCCTGCTGAGGGCACATACCTCGGTTGCAGTTTGTCCCCGGCTCCGGTTGGGTCGTGTGGGTGGCGACCACTAGATGTGTCCCTTTCACATCGATGTTTCTCTCTCTCCCTTCCATTCTATCTGAACAAAATATCAAAAAAATGTCCTCGGGTGAGGATTTAAAAAAAAAAAAAAAAGGGCCCTGGCCAGTTTGGCTCAGTGGTTAGAGCGTCGGCCTGCGGTCCGGAGAGACCCGGGTTCGGTTCCCGCTAAGGGCGCGTACTTCGGTTGCAGTTTGTCCCCGGCCCTGGTTGGTCGTGCGGGTGGCAGCCACTCGATGTGTCCCTTCACGTCGATGTTTCTCTCTCTCTCTTCCTCCCACTCTATCTGTACAAAAAATGGAAAAATATCCTCGGGTGAGGATAAAAAAAAAAAAAAAAAGGGACAAGTCATCATGTGTTTAGTTTATCCTGCCTTTTCACATAAACCCTACCTCTGAGTAAACAAACATCTGATGAATGGAGTTTATCTTGTTATGAAAATATTCGTGCTAATAAAAGAATTATAAGAAAAACATCACCATTTTAAAAACCCTAGTGAATGATGGTATTTTCATAGCAAGCATTAGACAAGGTATGGGAAGATGTAGAAATCTGTTTAAAATTTGATGGCAGGATCCCTGGCAGATATGGCTCAGCGGTAGAGCGTTGGCCCTCAGACCAATGAGTCACAGGTTCAATTCCAGCCAAGGGCATGTACCTCGGTTGCAGTTTGTTCCCAGCCCTGATCAGGGCCGTGCAGGAGGCAACCAGTTGATGTGTCCCTCTCACGTTAATATTTCTCTCTCTCTCCCTATTTCTTCCTCCCACTCTATCTGAAGATAAATAGAAAAATATCCTTGGGTGAGAATTTTAAAAAAAAGAAAGAAAATTTGATTATAGCACAATTTTCTTGCTCCATTCATCCCCCTGCCCTAATTTTCCTTCTATTGCCATAAAATCCTGCTTGTATTAAATTATCTATCCATCCAGTTTTAGAGCTGAATATAAATCCTTTTGCCCTATACCAATCAATGGTCTTAACTCCCTTTTCCAATTCTAGTAATAGAGTGGGGCATAAGTAGGTTTACAGTTGTGAGTACACAAAACACAGTATTTTTCTATTATTTAATTATTGTAATCTTTTCCAAACAACTGTAAACCTACTTTTGCCCCACCATGAATTTGTTTTTCATCTTTTAAGATGTGTCCAATATCTATTTTATCCTTCCCAAATTAATTTACAGATATACAGCAAATTCTAAAGGTTAAAGACTTTTTTAGTAAGTTTTACATATTCTTATCAAGAATAATCCAGCCCTGGTCAGTTTGGCTTAGCTGGCTAAGTGTCGTCCCATACACCAAAAAGTTGCTGGTTCGATCCCCAGTAAGGGTCGTGGCAGGAGGCAACCGATCAATGTTTCTCTCTCACATTGATGTTTCTCTCTCTCCCTCTCTCTTCCTCTCTCTCATGAGGCAACTATTTTGAGGGTGGCAAAAATGTTCCATATCTTCATCTGGGTAGTAGTTAAATAGGTGAAAACATACAATAAGGTCACTGAGCTATATATACTTAAGATGTGTGCATAGTCATGTGTGTAAATTAAACCTTAAGAAAATACTGTTTTTTGTTTTGTTGTTTTTTTTGGTACATGCCCCTAGCGGGAACCGAACCTGGGACTCTCTGATCCACAGGCCGACGCTCCAACCACTAAGCCAAACCGGCCAGGGCAATAAAATACCGTTTAAAATATTATTCTGGAATTTATTTAGAGTCTCAAACCAATATATCTTTCAAATAAGCCTAGCTATTAAATAATGCCTTCATAATAATAATCAAATACTTAGTGAAAAGAAAATAAACTTATTGCTGAATAAAATAATTTTCTCTTAAAAAGAATACTAAATGGAGGTGATAATTGGCAAGTTTTTAATTAACTTTAACAAACATCCACTAGGCTCATAATGGGAAAATATTAAAAATGAGCTCTTGTGCTAATAGGATGGGGAACTAAATAAATACAAACTAAATGTATTTCATCCAATAAGAAATATTTCATTCGGGATGAAATGGAAGCATCTCCCCTGAGAATAGGAAAGGGAGAGCTAAGGATAATAATGTCAGCATCTCTAGGACTTCCCATGTGAGAATACTCTAATAACATTTGGTAGAAACACCAATAAAATAGAGAATAACACCAGATTAGGTTAGCGTGTCTGTATTTCCACCAATATTCAACTTTCTTTTTCACCAAACCAACATTCTGGTCCCTTATTTATGTGGCACGAAACCCTACCCTATGGATGCCAAGTGCTCCAAGTAAATGCCCAATATGATTTTGCCTCATAAACCAATCTCCTTGTCAGTTTAGTTAAAATGTACCAACTCGCCCTGGCTGGTTTGGCTCAGGGGTTAGAGCATCGGCCCACAGACCAGAGTCCCAGGTTCAGTTCCTGCTAGGGGCATGTACCTCGATTGCAGTTTGTCCCCAGCACCAGTTGGGGTCATGTGGGTGGCAACCAGCTGATGTGTCTCTCACATTGTTGTTTCTCTTTCTCTTCCCCCCTCTCTCCCTCCTGCTCTATCTGAAGATAGATGTAAAAAAAAATGTCCTCAGGTGAGGATAAATAAATAAAGTACCAGCTCTACAACGCCTAATCTCTCCCAGAAATAAGAGATTGAACACACACTTTTCTCCTGTGTAATACACTCACATGAACAAGGAACCAAAATTCCCAAGATGACCTGTAAAGATCAGACTCCATTCCATAGAGAAAGCACCCATGATATTCACTCCATGCAATCCAGTCAGAAACAATGCCTACTCAATTTGACCTCATTCAGCTTTACTTTACTCCAAGTGTTATCAGCAACATCTATTAAAAGTTTTAAAATAGTCTGCTGAAAATAATTCAGCACTCAAACACAAGATAGACTAACCATGATTGTCTCCTGTTTGTGACTCAAACTGTTGGCATCCAATCAAAGACAATGGTTCTGCTTTCTCAATACAATCTGATTCAAATTTCATTACACAGAAGCTTTTTCAGCTATTCTCTGAGCCATAATGTTCTTTTAACAGTTGATAACTAAAAACTGGAGGGTGGGGGGAGTCTGAGGCCAAATCCTAGCTTTTCTAATTTAGAAGAATGACAACCTTACATGAAGCATTTATCTTATCTAAATCTGTGTCCTAATCTACAAACTGGGATTAACTATTTTAGGAGTATTAAGCATATACAGAATAAGTAAATAGTAGCTACTTCTCATTATTAACAGACTTTTAAAAGACTTGTTGTGGCCCTAACTGGTTTGGCCTAGTTGGTTGAGGGCCATCCCAAGTACTGAAAGGTTGCTGGTTCAATTCCCGGTCAGGGCACATGCCCAGGTTAAGGGTTCCATCCGTGGTCCGGATGTATACAAGAGGCAACCAATAGATGTCTCTCTCTCTCTCTTTCTCCCTTCCTCTCTCTAAAATCAATTTTTAAAATGACCTGCTGCACAGTTAACAAACAGCAACTACTAAAAATCATCTTTAAAATATAGCAAAGAAAATCCAAAAGGCAACAGTTGGCACACTCAAAATTGTTCAGGCAAAGATTACTGACTAGTGTAAAACACCATAGATACTTACACAGTGACATAAGTATTATAAATTTAATGAAGATGATGTACTTTATCATTCTAATCCAGTGACCCAGAAACACTAATGAGGGTCAACCAGATATGACTTTATATAAAAAGTCATGAAGTTAAGTATCAAGCATTTAGATTTAATTTCTAGTACACAAGTAATACAAGGCACAGGGACAAAGGAAAAATGAAATGACACCATGAAAAAGCAAATAAAACAAATCCAGAAGGTGGGCATTCTATAAGAAAAACAGCCACATTTCTTCAGTGCCTTAGTTTACCCATTTGTAAAATGGAAATAGAACTTACACATCTTAGGATACTTATGAAAACTAAAATGAGTTAACTCCTGTACAGCTCTTGTATGTTTTAAGGACTAGAGCATAGTTATTAACAGACATATGTCTACCTTCAACAAAGCCTGAGATAGCATCAAAGTTACCCTCAGAAAATGAAACCAAGAAGCACTGAAAAGTAACATAACCAGGTTCTGGTTAAGTGACCTGGCTCAATAGCTTTGGAGATTTAGAAGGTACACTCAAAGTACATATTAACATGACAAGCATATAGGGTCAAGAAAGACTAGCAAGCATATTAGGTGACCCCTTCTTAACTACTCAAATCGGAATCTGTATTATAATCATGTATTAATCATCACTGACTTAAGACAGCTATTTCCAAAAGGAATAAAATACAAGCAACATAATTAATTTTAAATTTAAGTACTTTAAATTTTCTAGTAGTCACATTACAAAGGTAAAAAAGAAATAGCTGAGCCCTGGATGGTTTGGTTCAGCAGTTAAGAGTGTCGGCCTGTGGACCAATGAGTTGTGGGTTCGATTCCGGTCAAGGGCATGTACTTGGATTGCAGGTCTGATCCTCACCCAGGTCATGGTCATACAAGAGGCAACCAACAGTGTATCTCTCTCACAATGTTTTCTCTCTCTCTCTTTCTTTCTTCCTCTCCCCCCATCTCTCTCTCCCTCCCATTCTAAAAAAACAATAGAAAAAACATCCTTGGATGGATTAACAACAACAAAATTATTTACATTTTCTTTATACTATTTGAAGTTCAGTATTTGATACATCTCAATTTTAACAAACCACATTTCACAAGCTCAATAACCACATACGGCTAGTGGCTACCCAACTGGACACATAAATTAAAGGTAACTGTTAACTTAAGATAGATGGCTCTACGTAGACTTTTATAAACAGAGAGGCTTTATTTAGCATAGTTTGCCCACAGGGATACTTATATATTCTAAACCTAAAAGGATACATGGCAGTTCACCAAGGATCAGTCATGGCCAAAATGGTGTAATTAATTATCCATTCACAAGACCACCTATGCTAATACTTAATTTTTAACTTGACCACCTTGATAATGGGGACCAATTCTGGTTGGTTACCCCAATTCTTTCACTGGAGTAGATGAATCTCCTCCTTGTTACAGTCCTGAATTTTATCTGTTATAAAGGCTAGTAAGTTATTATCTCAGATTATATAAAGTTTGGCTTTTGTTTATCAGTCCTCAGAGAAGCTCTATCAACTTTCAAAAGAACAAATCCAAATTGCAAGAACCGAGGAGCTAAGAAGAAATCCTTGGAGTCCAGCAACCACACACTATAAAACTTGGTGTCATACTGTGTTGAGGAGGGAGTGTGAGAAGGTAGGATTTCAAAAGGAATTAACTAGCCTTGGTCTATGATATCAGTTCAACTTTTACTAATGTCATGGAACTTATTGAAGAGCTCATGAAAATTAAGGATCCTCCTCCCAGAAAAGCACACACACATTTATACCTACAGACTCATTAAGAACCTCCATTGAAATACAGCTCCACACTAACAGAATAATTATTTTTAACTTCAATTTCTGAATTATATTAAAAATATCATCACAAATAACGACCCAGTTCCAGGTCTAGAACTTCCTTATAATGGTAGTAGTTTATTAAAAATGACAGGAAAGTTCCCATTTCTTACCAACCTGAATGAGTACGCATATGTCTAGTTAGATGAGTCTTCTGAGAACTTGAGTAAGGGCAAAGTTCACATTTATATGGACGTTCTCCTGCAAAAATAGAATTAGTGTTTAAATATGATAAAACAAGGTAAATAACAATTCTCTCTAACATAATATACAATAATCAGTACTGAACATTTTTTAAAATGTTTTTTCAATTTTTAGATAGAAAAGAAAGGAGAGGGAGAGAGAGAGAAACATCAGTGAGAGAGAAACATTGATTGGCTGCTTCCTGCACGGCCCCTACTGGGGATAGAACCAGAATCCTGGGCACGTGCCCTTCCCCAGAAATGCAATCTATAACCTCTTAGTGCATTGGACAATGCTCAACCCACTAAACCACACTAGCAGGGCTGTACTGAGTTTTTTTTTCCCTATTCCTGGCAAATAATCAATTTATATAAACGTATTAGAAATATGTAAATCATTTCATTCAGAATTTACACAACTACATCATTTCAACTTTGTTGTCACTATAGTTGACTTTCTGAATTCTACAGCCCTTTCACAGAAATGCTACTTATTATTACACTAAACTTTTTATTTATTTTTTTATCCTCACCTGAGGACATTTTTGCATTCATCTTCAGATAGAGCAAGAGGGAGGGAGGAAGGCAGAGAAACATCACTGATGTGAGAGACACATCAACTGGCTGCCACCCACATGACCCCAACTAGGGCCGGAGACAAACTGCAACCAAGGTACATGCCCTTAGCAGGAACCAAACCCAGGTCTCTCCGGATTGCAGGCTGACGCTCTAACCGCTAAGCCAAACCTGCCAGAGCACATTAAACTTTTTTAATAGACATTTAGAGAGAGACATCAATTTGTTGTTCCATTTATTTATGCATTCATTGGTTGATTCTTGTATATGCCCTGACCAGAGATCAAACCCACAACCTTGGTATATGGGGATGGTGCTCTAACCAACTGAGATACCCAGCCAGGACTATGTTAAATATTAAGAACTGAGAAATCATCTTGATAAGGCATCAAGGAGCATTTTTAAAAATTAGAATCATCCTTAAAGAAAATGCTACCAAAATTTCCTGATGCTATGTTTTAGGAAACTTTTTTTAATCCTTGTAAAAATGATAAATCTACCATCTGAAATTGTTAGCTTAAAGCAAGAATGCTTTTGAGTGAGCATTTTGTTGCTGTAAGCTAAAAACTTCCAGTGGTAGATATAGCTGCTACGAAATAGTCAAGTCGTGGTAAAACAAATTTTATTCATAAAGCCATAGGAACAGAGCAATTGAAGATGAAAGGCTAGTGATTTAGTACTGAAGAATTTAAGACACAAAGGCAGGAAATGTGTCTTCTGTTTTCTAGCGCAGGCTGTCAACCATAATGTTAAAGTCTGAAAATTTGTTTCATCTAGACTTTGGCCACAAGATAATAATTATTACGTTGAGCAAGTTTCTGCATCTAGAAAAGTTAACAGTACCTTCACTCCTCAGGATTGTGAGAATTTAAGATAATACATGCAGAGTACTTAATACTGTGCCTGGCACATACAAAGCCCTCAATAAATATGTTATTATTTTGCCTACATAGTAAGATGTAGCAAACACATGTGTCTAATAAAATGAGAAAGGTAAAAGAGAATGAAGAAAGAAAAAAGAATGTGGTCATGAGTAAGAAATGTGTTCCTAGTAACTGCTCAGCTGTCATTGGCTGGTAAATAACTCACAGCATATAATGACCAACTTTTACCTGGGAGAATTTTAAGATAGTTTTAAAAATATTAAAAAGTAGTTCTTGCCCTGGCCGGTTTGGCTCAGCGATTAGAACACCAGCCCGCAGATCAATGAGTCATGGGCTCGACTCTGGTCAAGGGCACGAACCTCAGTTGCAGTTTGTCCCCGGCCCCGGTCGGGGTGGTGTGGGAGGCAATCAGTCGATATGTCCCTCTCACATCAATGTTTCTCTCTCTACCTCCCAACTTCATCTGAACAAAAATGGAAAAATATCCTCGGATGAGGATTAAAAAAGAAAAAAAAAAAGTCCTTTATAGAAGATTCACAAATAGCCGATAAGCGAATGAAATGATGTACAACATCATTAGTCAGGAGGAAATGTAAATCAAAAGAAGATGAAGACTTCACACAAACTAGGTTGGTTATAATCAAAATGACGTATATTAACAAGTACCGGTTAGGACATGTAGAAACAGGAACCCTTATACATCCCTGGGATTGTAAAATAATGCTGCCACGTTAGGAAAAAATTTGGCAGTTCCTCAAATGATTAAACAGAGTTACCCATTCAGCCCAACAATTCTACTCCTAGGTGTATATATACCCAAAGGAGATTAAAAAAAAAAACCTTCTGTCCACCCTTTACAAAAACTTGCACAACAAATGTTCATAAAGCAGCATTATTCATAATAGCCAAAAAGTAGAAACAATCCAAACATCCATTAACTGATGAATGGATAAACAAAATGCTGTGCATCCATAGAACAAATTATACATCAATTAAAAGAAAACAAGTACTGCACATAAACATGAATGAATCCTGAAAACACTGTGCTAAGGAAAAAAGGTAGTCAGTCACACAAGACTACAAAATTGAATGATTCCATATATATGAAATGTCTAAAACAGGTCGATCCATAGTGAATTGTATGATGTGTAAATTTTATCTCAATTAAGGTATTATTTTAAAAAGTTAAGGACCTGGCCGGTTTGGCTCAGCGGTTAGAGAGTCGGCCTGTGGTCTTGAGAGACCCAGGTTTGGTTCCCGCTAGGGGCATGTGCCTCGGTTGCAGTTTGTCCCCGGCCCTGGTTGGGTCGTGCGGGTGGCAACCACTCGATGTGTCCCTTTCATGTCGATGTTTCTCTCTCTCTCTCTCTCTCCTTCCCACTCTATCTGAACAAAAAATGAAAAAATGTCCTCGGGTGAGGATAAAAAAACAAAAACAAAAACAAAAAAGTTAATGAAATAAAAATTAAAGACCATTATAAATTAACATGAAGAATTGATAAAGGATAATTTTGTTTTATTTTTTATTATTATTTTTTAATCCTTACCCGAGGACATTTTTCCATTTCTTGTTCAGATAAGAGTGGGAGGGAGGGAGAGAGAGGAAGAGAGAGAGAGAGAAACATCGATGTGAAAGGGACAAATCAAGTGGTTGCCACCCGCACGACCCAACCAGGGCCAGGGACAAACCGCAACTGAGGTACATGCCCTTAGTGAGAACCGAACCCGGGTCTCTCTGGACCACAGGCCGACGCTCTAACCGCTGAGCCAAACCAGTCAGGGCAAAAATAAATTCTTTATAAGAGAATAGATTGCACCCTAGGCGGTTTGGCTCAGCGGTTAGAGCTTTGGCCTGTGGTCCGAAGGGACCGGGGTTCGGTTCCTGCTAAGGGCATGTACCTCAGTTGTGGTTTGTCCCCGGACCTGGTTGGGTCGTGCAGGTGGCAACCACTCGATGTGTCCCTTTCACGTCGATGTTTCTCTCTCTCTCTTCCTCTCTTTCCCTCCCATTCTATCTGAACAAAGAATGGAAGGATGTCCTCCGGTGAGGATAAAAAAAAAAAGAGAGAATAGATTGTTTCTATCTGTGCAATTCTACACTATAGGCACAATCTACAAAACAGTGATTTTTTTTCAGTCACACATACAGGCAAAAATATTATATTTTAAAGTAGAATTTGTGGCCCTGACCTGATAGCTTAGTTGGTTAGAGCATCGTCCTGATAAACCAAGGTTGCTGGTTTGATCCCAGGACACATATAAGAATCAAAACAATGCCCTGGCCGGTTTGGCTCAGCGGTTAGAGCGTCAGCCTGCGGTCCTGAGAGACCTGGGTTCGGTTCCCGCTAAGGGCATGTACCTCGGTTGCAGTTTGTCCCCGGCCCTGGTCGGTTGTGCGGGTGGCAGCCACTCGATGTGTTCCTTTCACATCGATGTTTCTCTCTCTCTCTGTGTTCCTCTCTCTCCCTCCAACTCTACCTGAACAAAAAATGGAAAAATGTCCTCGGGTGAGGATTAAAAAAAAAAAAAAAAAAAAAAGAATCAAAACAATGAATGCATAGATTGGTTAAAAAAAATCTTTTTCTTTCTCCCTCCCCCTTTCTTTTTCTCTAAATAAATAAAGTAAAATTTGTGACCTGGTTAAATATCTAAGCTACAAAATTTTTAATCTTTTGATTAAAGACTCAAATGAAAACAATCCTCGATCACCACCATGATAATTACCTATAAAAAGAGATTAGGAATTTGAATCTGTTGTCTGTGACCTTGGGCACAGCACTTCAGGCTTTTACACCTGAAGTTTTCCTCTCAGTAGTAAATAAAGGCTAATGGATTGTTCTGCCGATTAGCATAGAATAGAAGAAAGCACCTAACATTGGTCACTCAATAAAAGAAAAAACCCATTAAGTGACTCTGAAAACTAGGCTACCTAATGAGAAATGAGGAATCAAAAGTGATTCTGCTATCATTTATTATTTTAATCTCTACTCTTCAGCTTTAGATTACTTTATTTTTCTAGACATACAATTTTTTGAACTATACGTTTAATACCAGAGACACGCTTAGAAATCACATAATCAAATTATCCTTCAACTTATACACCCCCAAATATTTTTTAATCACAAATAAGGTAATAGGAGGGAAAAATCTTTTTTAAAAGCATAAAGACCAAATAGGTTTAACAATAAAATGTGAAATGAGATACATACAACCAATGTTAGCTATGTAAATCATAACCTTATTGTGAAAATATCAACTTCAGCTTAATGTGGAGAAAATATTAAGTAATGGATGGTACAGTTAACTACATAAAATATAGCCATTAAAATGAGTCATACAGAAAGAATTTTTTTTTAATTAAAAAGAAAATGAGATTAAAAATACTAAAAAAAAAAAAAAAACACGAGCCACCTAGGGCAGGTTTGACTCAATGGTTAGAGCGTCGGACCATGGACCAAAGAGTCATGGGTTCATTTCCAGTCAAGGGCCATACTTGGTTGTGATTCGGTCCCGGCCCTGCTCAGGGTCATGTGAGAGAGAATCAATCTCAATCTCTCTCTCTCTCAATGGAAAAATATTCTGGGGTGGGGATTTAAAAAAAAAAAAAAGTTGCCCTGGCCGGTTTGGCTCAGCAGTTATAGTGTCGGCCTGCGGTCTGGAGAGACCCAGGTTCGGTTCTGGCTAAGGGCACGTACCTCAGTTGCAGTTTGTCCCCGGCCCTGGTTGGATTGTGTGGGTGGCAACCACTCCATGTGTTCCTTTCATGTCCATGTTTCTCTCTCCTTCTCTCCCTCCCACTCTATCTGAACAAAAAATGGAAAAATGTCCTTGGGTGAGGATTAAAAAAAAAGTCACCTAGACTATAACTAGATTAAAATAAACCACTATAATAATAAAAATAAGAAATGACAAAAAGCAGAGTTCCTGTTTTTATAAAAATCCTTTATAGCCCTGGCTGGTTTGGCTCAGCGGTAGAGCCTTAGCCCACAGACCAATTAGTCATGGGTTCGATTCTGGTCAAGGGTACGCACCTCGGTTGTGGTTCGTCCCCAAACCTGTGTGGGAGGCAAACAACCAGTAGATGTGTCCCTCTCGTCTCGATGTTTCTCTCTCTCCCCCTTTCTCTCCCTCCCACTCAATCTGAAGATAAACAGAAAAATATCCTCAGGTGAGGATTAAAAAAAAAAAAAATCCTTTATACAAAAAATTAGAAGTATGCACACAAAACTTGAAATGTTTCCCTTCTATACATGTTCTTAAATTAACAATATAAATTATTGTTGAAAATATTTTTAATTTTGTTAGCCAGTATCATCCCAATAAATGCAATAAAAAGGAAAAAAACATTTTTAGCTTTGGGGAAAATTTTTAAACTGTTCAGTGACCCAAAAGTTCTGATGTTATCAAAAACTGACAAAATAAAATAAAATTTTAATACAACAAAGGCACTGGTGTGCTGGTAATATTCTCTATGTTGACTTGCATGGTGGTTATAAGTATATTATTTGTAAAACTTCATCAAAGTAAACACATAAAAGTTGTGCACTTTACCACATGTTATAGTTACTACGCAAAATATCTACATTATAGTCAATTCTAAATTAGGCCCCAAGGTTTTCAAAAACTGTTAAATGATTATGAAGTACTTATGGTTGAAGTGCATATGGTGTTTGGGATGGGTTTTAAGATATTGTAGGTGTGGCTCAGTGGACTGAGTATCCTCCCATGGACTGAGAGGTCCTGGTTCAATTCCAGGTCAGGGCACATGCCCAGGCTGTGGGCCGGATTCCCATTAAGGGGCGTGCAGGAGGCAGCTGATAGATGTTTCTCTGTCACATCACTGTTTCCTCTCTCTCCCTTCCTCTCTCTCTTAAAAAAAAAAAAAAAATCAATATAAAATTTTTTTTAAAAGATATTGTAAGTGAGGTTAGTTTAGTATCAATTTGTTTAACTCAAACTGTTAAATGATTAATGGGGTAGGATTCCCAAGTAACTTGTTTCCCATGCTATTTATTTTTATAATGTTTAAATTTCTTTAGTTTCGAAATAAAATGTTTTCAAAACATGGTGACACTCATTCATAGGTTAAAACAAATTCCAAAGAACTATATTTTAAAACTTTTAAGTACAGAAGCCATCTGCTAGGGCTTAGAAATCTTGCTGCAGATGTCTTTCATTTAATGGAATTTCACCTCTAAGTTTAAAGTCTACCACTTAAGCCCTAGTGGGTTTTGCTCAACGGGTAGAGCATAGGCCTGCACACCAAGGGTAGTGAGTTTGATTCTCAACTAAGGGCTCGTATCTGGCTTGCAGGTTGGATCCCCAGCCCGTCAGGGTTGTGCAGGAGGCAACCAATTGATGTGTCTCTTTCACATCAATGTTTCTCTTCTCCCTCCCCTGCCCGCCCCTCACTCTATCTGAAAATCAATGGAAAAATATCCTCAGGTGAGGATTAAAAAATAAATAAGGTCTACCACTTAAGCAAAGCCATATCAATTTACCTTCCCATGGTATTCTACTTTACCTGTGAGGTTCAGTTCTACAGAGCGACAACTGCAACAGGGACCTGAACCAAACAGCATCCCATAGCCCCTTTTTACTTGTTATTCAAGAGTACAGTACTAGATTAATTACTCTACCCATTTGTTCAGACAAGTAATCAAACCTCAAAGGTACCAACCTTTACCAGGAAAATGTAATGTTAATTCAAATTAATTACTAATAGTTGCAAACACTTCTTTGGGGGGGAAAAAAAAGAGACCCTAATTACAAAGATTTGAAAGTAAATTTATTCTTTATTTTATTTTTTTAATCCTCACCTGAGGATATTTTTCCATTGATTTTCAGATAGACTGGGAGGGAGGGAAAGAGAGAAACAGCGATGTGAGATACACATCAACTGGTTGCCTCCCACATGACCCTGACCAGGGCCTGGAATGGAACCGTAACAGAGGTACGTGCCCTTGACTGGAACCCAAGACTCTGGTCTACAGGCCAACACTCTAACTGCTGAGCCAAACTGGCTAGGGTTGAAAGTAAACTTTTTAACTAAATTTACTGGCATGACAGTGGTTAATAAAATTATACAGGTTTCAGGCATGCAATTACATAATACACCAAACTATATAATGTATTGTGTGTTTACCACCCAAAATCAAGTCTCCTTCCATCATCATTTATCCCCCCATACCTTCTTCTACCTCCCCGCAACCACCACCTTTCCCCTCTGGTAATCATCATGGTGTTTGTTCTCTATGAGTCTTTTTCTGTTTTGTCAGTTTATTTTGTTCTTTAGATTCTACATGAGCAAAATCATATGGTACTTGTCTTTCTCTGACCAGCTTATTTCACTTAGCATAAATGCTCTCCAGCATTGTGAATATATTAAAACTACTGAATTGTAATTTTAAATGGATGAATTGTGTGGTAGTAGAGTATAGCTAATAAAGATGTTAGTTAAAAAAAAATAAACTGCGCCCGGCTGGTGTGGCTCAGTGACTGGGTGTCGACCCATGTACCGGGAGGTCACTGGTTCAATTCCCGGGTCAGGGTACATGCCCAAGGTTGTGGGCCAAATCCCCAGTGGGGGGCATGCAGGAGGCAGCCAGCCAACGTTCTCTCTCATTGATGTTTCTATCTCTCTCCCTCTCCCTTCCTCTCTCTAAAATCAATAAAGAAAAAAAAATTTTTAATAAGCAAATTGCAAAATGTGACAAAATATTCGTAACTGTTGGGTATAGGTGATGGGTGGGTACATGTTGGTGCAGTGTAACATTTTCTTTACTTCAGATGTTTGAAATTGTTCATATTTTTAAAATTGTTCCTTTTTTCTTGAAAGCACACTTATAAATTAGAAAGGCCCTTTTACCTGTATGAGTTCAAATATGCTGAACATTGTTTTGTCTGAAAAACAGTTGCATTTTCCTCACGTGGTTGCTTTCTTAGGAAAATGATTAGTTTCTAATCCTTTAAAAACTAACCTCACATTTCTGTGTTTCGGGAACAATTTAAGTTGTTCCATTTATTTATTTATTTATTTATTTTTATCCTCACCCGAGAATATTTTTCCATTTTTTGTACAGATAGAGTGGGAGGGAGAGAGAGGAAGGGAGAGAGAGAGAGAAACATCGATGTGAAAGGGACACATCGAGCGGCTGCCACCCGCACGACCAACCAGGGCCGGGGACAAACTGCAACCGAAGTACGTGCCCTTAGCGGGAACCGAACCCGGGTCTCTCCGGACCGCAGGCCAACGCTCTAACCGCTGAGCCAAACTGGCCAGGGCAAGTTGTTCCATTTAGAAGCTCAATACCCCAAGTCAAATGTTTTAAATTGTTTGAGGCTGTGTTAAATGGAGTTATGCAAGGGTTAGTTTTTTTCCTTTTTTTGTTAAAGCCCTAAATTCCCTTGGGAAACCACTGTATGCATCTTAGATGTATTCACTGCCAACTAAATACATCTTCTAATAAAAAAATTAATCTGGCTAAATGGTCTATCCCAAGTTGTTAGAACATGTTATTTTAGAAAAAACATTGATAGTTTCTCTTGGCTATTCTTCCACATAACACTCAGCACTTGATTTGTGTTCCTTTACTGGATCCTTTAATCCTACAGTATACTGTTATGAGGCACATACAGAATAAATAGTATGTTCAAGGTCACAAAGACAGTAAATAATGGAATCAGAGTTTGAACCCAGGGTCCCCTCCCTTTTATTTAGCATTATTGTTAACTACCCACTCAATAAACTATCAGAAGTTAGTTGAATTTATGGACTGCAAAGGTCCTCTTACCTGTGTGAGTTCGAACATGCTGAACATAATTGTTTTTTCTATCTGAAAAATAGTTGCATTTTCCACATGTGTATACTTTTCTTGGAAAATGGTTTCTTAAGTGTTTTCTCCAGTGATACTCGCTTACTGTGGTATACGTGCAAATGATGCACTTGTAGACTCGCTCATTATCCCCAGCTCTGGTGTGGTGTTTCAAGTGAGCAGTATAGTGATCGTATCGATTGGTATTGTAGCCACAGCGGTCACATCGAATGGGGCCTTTGGAGAAATCTCCCTCTTCTGCAGTGGAAGAGCCAGATTCCCTAGCTTTTGCTTGCTTCTCTGCACTTTCTTCCACAAAAAACTTCTTGGCACTATGAACTCTGATGTGATGTACAAACTGTTCTTCAGATTCTGCTTCATATTGGCATGGCTTACAACGAAAGGGTTTGGTCTTCACGTTCTTGCATTTATCCTCTGCTCCAGGTGTTTCGGGAGGAAGATCTTTATTTGAGTTGTAAATTTCTGGGGTAGCTGATACCTCAAACACAGGCTGTGGTTCTGCAACACTGAGTTCCAAACTTTCCAGTTCCATGTTTTCCAGTCCATTGGGTTCACCTTTTATGTCAGGGGACTCCTCAAGTCCTTCTCCATCACTATCTGAAAAGTTGTTATCCCCAACAGGCATCAATTCTGCCATTTGTCTTTCTTCACCAACTAGGTAATCACAGCAGCTGCCATTTACTTCCCCAGTTAAGGCCACATTTGCCAACATGATAAGCTGAGGAGCAGCCAATTCAGCTTTGGAGAGGTCATGCAAGTCATACATATCGTTAGGCAAGGCCATGCCAATGTTGCCACTGCCGTTGAATAGCCCTCCTCCTCCAGAAGACTGCCCCATTACCTGGGTGGCCATAACTGTATTCTGAATTCAAAACAAAACACAAAACACAAAAGCACCAATTTAAACACAACTTTACTGGTCTAAACCCAAAGCATCACTGTAATTCTTCACAACTTTTAAAAAATACATTTTCCAATATAATCTGTAAATTCAATGAACTTCATTAACTATTAAAAATGAGCCTTTTAAATCATTTTGTAATTTCGAATTCTCTTTACTGCATCACAAAAAAAATTTCTATTACCCCTCCAAAAATTTCTATCAATTGTTTGACATAACTCATCCATCAAACTAGGTCTACCACTGGGCAAGCACTTTAAATTTTTCTAGTGGAAAACAACAACAAAAAACCCAGTAGCCTTCATTTTTAATGTTAATTAAAATTACTTTTAAAATTCAATACATGAATAGTAAACAGCTAGCCTCACAATTCCCCCTTCGATGTTTACTGGTCTGAATCAGAAAGGGGAGAAAGCCAAAAGCCAGACAAATAAGTCTAGAAAGTAGAAGCCTGTAATAGTCAACTGAACTGAAATTCACATTACCTCAACTAACTCCAGAGGAGTTAACTACTGTGAAAAAGTACCACTTAGCTTCCTATTTTTTGGCTGATTTGACACGTTTAAAGGAAAAAAATTACGGACCCTTATTCTTGTGAAAAAGGAAGTTTGGTGTACTCAACACTTCACAAATGAAAATATAAAAAATCTTTCAAACCACTTAATATAAGAATCATACAACTCAGTTCGACAATCAGCAAATTTCTTGCATTGTGTTTGACTTGGCCTACTTGCCTAGTGGAAGCCATTACAAGATCACCTTCTTGAAAACATGTTGGACTTTTTAAATCGTCTTAACCAGGTTTCTTTCCAAAGGTACTATTCTCAAAGTAGGTGTTTTCTTGCCAATTAAAAAAAGGCAAAATAAGTGGTAAGTACTAAGAAAGTTAAATCCAAAATACAAAAAGTAATCCATTTCACCAAAGTGTATAAACACAAACCGGTTGAGTTATACGTACCAATAAAAGTTGGAATCAAATGCCATCACAGAAAACAAACCGAGGGCCAAAGCGGTCCCAAAGCTTATAGTCCGGGCTACTCGGTACTTTGCTAAACATCGACTTTTCTAATAGTCCCCAAAACCCTAACTACCATCCCTAAAGGAATTTTAACGTTTGTCAGAGACCGTCCAAGCAAAGCCCCAAAGCCCAACGTGTTGCACGAATTCCTACGTGCTGCTGCCACCAGCGCCTGCCTCGGCGGCGGCATTCCTGGCTGAAATAGGCATTCGGCCATTTTCTCAAAATACCAAACACAAAGCAGCTCTTTGCAAACTCCGGCGCTCTCGCTTCCTCTCGGCTCGCCCCGCTCACTGCACACATTTACACACCAATTCGCAGGAGCTGCCCCAACACTCGTCCTGAAGCTTTTCCTGTGCTCCCCAACACTAAAAATGGCAAGGGGGGCCAACTCGGGGCGCCGCTGGGCCAGAAGAAGTCTTCCCCAGTCCAGCCCCCTCTCCGGCCCTCGGACCCGCGTTTGGAAGAGGAAAGTTACCGCGTCGCCGGCGACCGGGTTCCTCTCACCGCCCCTGGGCTCGCCCTCCGTAGAGGGCCCGGAGGCTCCGCGGGCGCCCTCCGGAGGCGTCGGCCCGGAGCGCCAGAGGGGGCCCCCACGCGCGCCGACCGCCCCCCCGCCCCCCGGAAGTTTGCGAACTCACTCCCCCACGGCGCCCGGCGAGACGCGCGCCCCAGCCCTGCCAGCTCCGGCGGCAAGGTGGCCGGGCGCGGAAGGCAGCGGCGGCGAAACGGCCCGAGCGCAGAAATCGCTGTCCAGCCCCATTGGCGGAACCGCCCCGGCCCCAGGGCTGACTCAACCCGCCCAGCAGCACTCAACGGCGCCTTCCGGCGAAAGGGAGAGGCCGCCGAGGGAGGGGGACGGGAGGGCCGCGGGCAGGCGAGGGGCTGCGGCGGGACCTGGGAGCAGCAGGAGGGCGAGGAGGAAGTTTCAGGACTAGGGCCCCAAGAAGCTCCACTCCTTGGCCTCAGGACCCGACTCCGAGGGGCGCCTGGGCCCGCGCGGAGGCGGAGGCCCGGCCTCGACTGGGGAGGGGGTCCTGGCGCCGCGCCGCTCCCCAATGACGCCCCCGGCCCAGCCCCCGGGCCGCGCGGTGTAACCCGATCCCGCTCGGCCGCCCGCCCCCGTCCGGCGCGGCCGCCACCGCCGGAGCCACAGTATCTGCAAATCAGCCCTGGACAGCGCCTCGCTCCGCGTCCTTCCGCGCCCTCCCCCTCCCGCGGACGCCGCCGCCGCCACTGCCGCCCTGTCGGCCCTCCCCCACCCAGACCGAGCCCCCAGCCCCGCGCTGCGCTTACCGACCTTTCTCGGCGAGGAGGGGCTGGGGACCCGGCGTCGCCGTTCCTTCCCCGACTACTTTTCTTTGTTGCTGGAGTTTCGGGGGAGGGGAGAGGGAGGGTGGAAAAGTTGGGCGCTGGGGCCGTCCAGGCCCGCGAAGGCCCAGGAGTGGGGCTGCAGAGTGTTCAGGCCGCCGGCTCTCGCCCTGCTGTCCTGGTCGCCGCCGCCGCCGCCGAGGTCTGGGGCCCGGGGCCTCGGCGGCGCCTGCTCTGCTGCTGCGCCGCGAGCTCGCGGGAGCCGCACATTCCAGCACAGGAGACTGCGCTGCGCACCCGGCCCGCGCCGCCGCTGCCGCCCGCGGGACACGCCCCCTTCTCCGCCCGCGCGCGCCCGCCGGACACGCCCACTCCACCGCCGGAGCGCGTGGCCGCCTGGTGCGCCCCGCCCCTTGGCGGAGGGGGAGAGCGCGAGGCCCGGGCTGGGCTGGGGGCCGATTCGCCTAATCTGCGGGGCCCCTCACTCTTGCCCTTAGGTCAAAAAAAAAAAAAAAAATGGGCGAGGAGAGCCCCGCTCCCTTTCTTGAGTTCTCATTACAAACACAACAGAAAAGTTAGCCCCCAGCTCAGGCGTGCGTGCATGAGAATAGAGCCGTTCAAAGAAAAATCTGCAGGCTTTAACCACTCTTGAGAACTATTGTCACCCGCCTTTCAAGGCTAAAGCGCTCGAAAAAACCCTTCAGAATCTCTTCAAGGCTCCACCCATAGCCACTCTTTGACTAATTAAACTTAGTTTTAAGCTTCAACAGTAAAAATGCATTCTAAATTTTAAACAGTAAACTAGGAAAACGCAACCAGTTCTTGAGCTGGTGAGAAAAAAAAGTTTGGGAAGATCGCCGACTCAAAACAGAATGAGGAATGAGGTATAAGTCCCTAGACATAGCAAGTAGCAGGTCATTGCTGAGCCTTCAAAGCCAGGACTTCAGTGGAGCAATTACCCTCAGATTACAGAGAGTAAAGAGGGTGATGAGCACATGGAGGCTGCCTGGGGACCGTGTGTCGGAGGGTAACCTAGCTTCCCACGTTTTATGGGGTAACCGTGAATATGGTTCAATGCCTGGCACATAGTAGTAGTATACTGAGAGGGATTTATGCACCTCTTTCCTTCTGTTTGCACCAGAACTGGCTTATTAGTTTTTGACACTTTAAATCACACCAGTCCTCAGAAACTTAATGGCTCCCATAAACCTAGTATGGTATTTCAAGGCTCTAACTAACCTTACCTGGATAAATTGTACTGTCACTAGTATTATAATAGAGGTAGCAGCAAGTGCTAAGGGGATTCAGAGTAAGAAGATGGTTCCTAACCAAGAGGATCTAGAAACTTCGTACAGTAGATGGTTTTCCAATCTGGCCTTGGAGAATTTCAAGAAGTGGAAAGTAGATGAAGAAACATTCTACATGGAGAAAACAGTAAGCACAAAACCCCATCTAATGAGATTTCCCTAACTCCTTCCCCAGCTCCACCCCCACCCCGACCCCACCCCGACCCCACCCCGTCCCTTTGCTTTTAAATTCCTTCACTTGTTTCTCTGAGGAAGGAGCTTCCAGACTCCTAAATTTCCTGACCTACTCCTCAGTAGGACCTTTGTTTTCCTGTATCCGGACAATATATTATTAATTAATGCAGCGTCAGATGCAAGATGGAATGAGGCCCTAAGGTGTGTTAACACACTAAGATTTTGATTACTACTTGCTATCAAATGCAAGCTCTCCCCATGAATCAAACTTGAGAAGTATTCATTTTCATTGAACCAAATATGAAAAGGAAGTTAGGAAGGAAAAAACAGAAAGAGAAGGAAACATTTTTAGGCCTGGTACAAACTTTTCAACATGCATTCTCTTTTTTAATTTGTCTTTTTCTTTCTTTTTAAACTAAAATCTAATTTGAGGTTGCATGGCCCAGGGAACAATTCTGGCCTCTACCAAAGCCATCAAAGATATAAACTTTTCTTTCCCCCTTTATGTCCAAGAAGACAAAAATGGCCCAGGCCCTGTGGCTCAGGGATTCAGCATGCTCCCATGGGCAGACAGAGCCAGGTAGAATTCCTCTACCCGGCATATGCCTGGTTTTCAGGCTGGATTCCCAGTAGGGGGCGTGCAGGAGGCAGCTGCAGGATGTTTCTCTCTAAAGTGATGTTTCTATTTGTAAAAAAAATTTTTTAAAAAGACAAAGATGAAACATCTCTTTTTAAACTTATTAGATAAATGGTCTTTTGTTTCCTCTATCTGACTGCTTACTCAAAGTGTTTTATTAATTGCAAATTTATTCCCACATATGGTGATGCAAATAGAAGAATGGCAAATTGGCAGCTGTGTTCATTTAAAATTAGCAGAGGCCCTTATTCAAGAGATGGCATAGTCTGAGTGACCCAAATTATCATAACATGAACTTCAAGGTCAAATTCAGGTCCAGGTTACAAATTAATAGAATATTTCCTTTGGGGGGACTTAAATTTCATTTTATTTATTTATTTTTTTGTACGTGCCCTTAGCGGGGGCCCAACCTGGGACTCTCTGGTCCACAGGCCGATGCTCCAACCGCTGAGCCAAACCAGCCAGGGCAAATTCTTAGTTGTTTTTCAAGAGGCTATATTTTACTCTACTGCATCCAAAATTTAAGATCTGCAAGATAATGACTTTGAAGTGTGAATGAGTTTTGGTTTTCTTATTTTGAGAATATGGATTCTTCCCTACATATTTAACTCATCAATTATTTTTTTTATTTTAGTTATATATGTTCTTAATTATATTTTTCTCTACAGATTTATTTTAAAAATTTGGTGAAATGTAGTTTTTAGCTTCATGTGCTTTTTATTTCTAACCATTTTTTTCTTTAGAAAAGAGCTTATTTTCTGTAGACCTACATCATCACAAACGCCTCATAGAGTAAATCTTTTGTTTCCTTTATTCACAGAACTATTTGTTAGATCTGTGGGAAGAAACAAGACAGTTGCTAAAACTATGAAAGACCTAACAGTCAAAAAAATGTTTTTTAATTTTTTTCTTTATTGATTTTAGAGAGAGGGGAAGGGAGAAGGAGAGAGAAACATCGATGAGAGAGAACATCAATTGGCTCCCTCCTGCATGCCCCCCACTGGGGACTGGGCCCACAACCTGGGCATGTGCCCTGACCGGGAATCAAATCAGTGACCTCTTGATGCATGGGTTGATGCTCAACCGCTGAGCCACACCAGCCGGGCAAAAATTTTTAAGGAATAGGCATATCCCAATGATCTCTACTATTCTAGAATGTCATGGCTTAGGAGAGAACTTATTCATGTTTAGAGGGTGTCTGAAATTGAGAACCAGGCAGATCTAGCTGTTAAAGATAGTATGAAGCTAGGAAAATTCCAAGCAGAATAGGGAAACTAAGACAGGTAGTTAAACAGCAGTTTGCAGCAACCTAGTAAATTCTACCTTCCCTAAACCAAAGACACTAAAGAGTGAATAGTTTGGACATCAAAAGTACAACTAAACTACAAAACAACCATCACTCAGAACCGCCTGGCATCGAGCTGAATGGAAGTCCTATAACTACGAAATTAAAGAAGAAGCCACATCCAGACTGGTAGGAGGGGCGAAGGCGTAGACATGCTGGTCCCACACCCCCATGTGGCAGATAAAAATCAGGAGGGATGCCCTGGCCAATTTGACTCAGCGATTAGAGCATTGGCCCGCGGACCAGAGAGGCTCAGATTCGGTTCCCACTAAGGGCACGTACCTGGGTTGCAGTTTGTCCCTGACCCCAGTTGGGGTCATGTGGGTGGCAACCAGTCGATGTCTCTCTCTCACATTGATGTTTCTCTCTCTCTCTACCCCCCTACCCCCCAACTCTATTTGAAGATAAATGCAAAACAAAAATGTCCTCGGGTGAGAATTTAAAAAAAGAAAAATCAGGAGGGATACCTCAGCTGGGAAGGTCCTCCCTGAGGAGTGAGAGGTCCTAGTCCCACACCAGGCTCCCAGCTCAGGGTTACGGTGCCAGGAAGAGAAGTCTCCATCACTTCTGGCTGTAAAACACTTCTGGCTATTAAATAAGCGGGAACTGCCCAACCAGTGTGGCTCAGTGCTTGAGCTTCGACCCATGCACCGGGAGGCCACTGGTTCAGTTCCCGGTCAGGGCACATGCCCAGGTTGTGGGCCGAGTCTCTAGTGGGGGGTATGCCGGAGGCGGCTAGACGATGTTCTCTC